TTTTTTTTTTTTTTTGCTTCTCAATTTATTCAGTTTTTCAAATTATCAAAAAACATACATAACTGAAAAATCTCTCCTCGTTTTTTTCTTTTTGCCAAATAAAAAGCGCTAATTTGCTGTTTTTTTTTCTGGCTACAGACACAGCAAAAACCGTCGACTTTTTTCCTGGTACTTATTTGAACCATTAGTTTATTACCAATTGGGTATAGACTGTCTTTATTTTTATTTTTTTCTTTTTCTTGGTCTTCCCATTTTTTTTATTTTTTTTACTTTATTAGAATGCCACAGTTACGCTTATGGCAGCCAGTTTTCTGCAGTTGTTAATCTGAACATGCAACTTTTTTGATAAGGGAGATCAGTTGACAAACCTTTAGTCTAACAGATCGATTTAGCATAAAGCTTTATTTAGGAAACCAGAGAAATGTGGACTTCTGATCTTTGTCATTTTTTTTAGGTTAACTTCTTTAGTTTTAATTTTCCATTATTTCCATTCATCGATGAACAACAATCGCTAAATGTTGCTCATTTCTTTGTGTGCTTTCAATTACTGGAAAACTGTTTGTTGGATAGGTGCTGTATCTATAAGTCGGTAATAACTAAAGTTTTCAGTTTTCTGAACAATAATTAAAGCAGTAATACTAATCAAAAAAATTTTTTTCAAATTTATTCTGCCTTTTTTTGTCTACTACCAATAGCATAACTTATAAAGTAACACTTTTTTCTTGTTTTCTTCTTCTTCTTTTTTTTTTAAGTATTAGTGTTTGGCTTTTATAACTGTTTTGATTTTTTCTTCTTTTTTCTTTTTTTTTCCTTTTCTTTTTTTGCTTTCTATGTTTTAAAGAGGAAACAATCAAATTTATTTAATCGTTTTATCAATACTTTTAATCATCATATGAGGGAGGAAACAGCAGAATTGTGTGTTTTTACGCATGTACATATGCATGTGTATCTGTGCAATTGACCATTGCCATAATTATCATCGTCGTCATTATCCTCGTCGTCGTTATGGTTGTTGTCGTCGTCGTCGTCGTCGTCGTCGTCGTCGTTGTCGTTGTCGTGATCGTCGCTGTCATTTTCATTATGATCATCGTCGGAAAAGTACACGCAAAAGGAACACATACAAATAATTTAATTTTATTGCAAAATTTTTTTCCTTTTTTCTTCAAATACCTCCATTATTTTTGCTAACTAATCAAATTGAATCTATACAATAATAAATCAATTAGGAAATAGTCAGATGTATTCGGTT